TTCCTCAGTGCCACCTTTGCTGCACCCGCACCCGCACTGCCCGTGCGGCGCCCTTATTGCCTTCGGTCACACCTGCTCGTCTCCCGCCGCAAAGACCAGAAACACAAACTGGCGGTGCAGCAACGGTCACATCTACCTATTCCAGCCAAACCCAGATTCCCGCAGAACCCACCGAGTCTTCTTCCGCGTCATTGTTGACGACGGAACAGGGCTTCTCTGAAAAAGCAGAACCCACCGAGGGCAAGGTCCCGTGGCACAAAAGAAAAATACGGGGCAGAATACCTTTGGGCGTCCTAGTGGTCGCTCTAGGCATGTTCCTGATTCTCGCCGTCGCTTTAGGAGCTGCTGTTGGCACTATCGTCACGAAGAAGCAGAACAATGAAGACAAGGATAAATCTGGGAAACCCGAAGAACCGTAAGTATACATGATTACCATCTCCCGTTTAACAAATTCTGACCAATACTAGGCTGCCTCAAGTGTCTGGCTCACACGGCTCTCTCTTCGACGCGACTCCTATTCCTACTCCGTCAGGACTTGGCTCGCTCCCTACTGGCGGATTCTCGCTACCTCTGGGTATACCTCAGGAAAGCAACCCAGGCTGCCTGACCCAAGCGAATCAGTATTCTGCATGGTCATGCAAACTCACCTTCGCCCCGCTCCTCATCACGGTCAACAACACAATGACCGACGAAGGCCCCGTGCAGCTAGCGTCAATGAGAAGTGGCAGTCAGGTGCCCGATGGCGCTATACTTTATGGCCTTCAGACTCCAGATCTCTCCTCGCAGGCCTTGCAACTGGTTCTCGATTTGGACTACAAGGCCTATGGCCCAGCTTACCACTTTCAGTCTCGTTATGACAAGCTCGTCATTCTCAGGCCTGAAGAACTAAACACATTTTCGGGTGTGTTGAAGCGCCAAGATCCGACTCTTCGCCAGAGATTTCAAGTCAAGCCCGGAGATCTTCCCTGGTATTGCTACTGGAACCAGACTTATATCGAAGGCTACATTTATGCAGAGGATAATTCCACGGCAGCCTCATTCACCTTTCCTACAGCTGCACCAAGTGGCTCACCATCCATCTCGTACGATTTGGACGGCTTCTTGGCTACAGCAACCACAGGAGCTACACCATCAGTAGTAACTGTTGCTGCCAGCGCAAGTAGTGCTTCGATAACGCCAACTCCAAACGCACGCCGGGACGCACAGTCCGACGCTGCCGCTCCGCCACGCATGCCACCATATCCTCGCATTGTCAAGATTGAGGAACGTCGTCTGCCAAATTCGCCACAACCATACTGTCAGCAAATGCTTCTACTCGACGACGGAAAGATTGCCCCAGCTACATACGGCAGCAACGGCTTTCCCAAGAAGATTTTGTTACAAGAGAGTGATCCGAGCTATGACGACTACTACGCAGCTCGAGTCAATGAGGGCAGCAACTCGAAGCGTCAGGATCTGCAACGGAGATTAGATCCGAGTGATTCATGCCACTGTCAGTGGATGTTCAAGTAATTCCTTTTCAGCGAGCAGCGGAGCATTTCTTTCAGCATTTTGATGACACTACTAGTCAATTTCAACCTTGTTCATTCACCGCAGGATCTAGCATATACCTGTACGGCGCAACCGGCGTTTTCCTTTCCTCATCTCGAATAACGAATGATTTTCGGTTTTCCGGCATTATCCTTTTCCTCTGGTCATAGCATGCCATTACATGGCTCTCGTTCTTGTATTTTCCTTGCTTGTTTGGGACGATCGAGTATACTCTACGGAGATACCTAGGCGCATTCAAAAGCCACGATAGCTTGATAACTTGTATATATTGACGGGAGGGTAACTTGTACTTAGCAAGGATCGAAGTTATGCGCGAGTCGCTAATGTGCGATGGGAGCGAATATGAGAGACTAGATGGAGAATATACTAGGTAGAAGGAAATGCACAAGTATTGCATAGTGTCAATTCACACTCTCTAATGATGTCGCGTTCCTCGATATTGTTATTTATGGGGTAATTGGCGGCACCAGGCTAAGACAGCAGGTTCGTTTTGTTGACACGGCACGATCGGGCAGTCAGTTAGTAGATTTTGGGGGTGTAGTTGAAGATTGACCCGTAGACCGCGTTTGCAAGAAGCACCGAAAATACCCTGGGAGCTTACACACAACCCTGTGAAGCAACCCACCCGGAAACGGAAACTAACGTATCCGCTCCGGACATCCGCTGTGTACTTTGTCTACATATTGAATAACATATTCAAGAAGTTTGTCTTGACACACTCGCCCTGCAATTGTGACGATTGTATATTAGTATCATTTTTTTACCATGTTTCTAGGCATCTCACAGTTGGAACGTCAGTGGTGACAGATGGAGCTACGCAATTAGTATCTTTACTGGCTGTATTTGTCCAACGGCATATTCTTGCACGCTTGGATCAACGAGCCCACCTTGGAGGGCATCGATCCAAACGAGCTGGCCATCGCTACTATCTGGTATCCGAACGGCGCTCACGAGGTACTACCAGTGGACACCACGTCCAAAGCTTGGGACACGGAGAGGAATAAGAGGACGGGCAAACTCTGCGTCAATGAGTTCGAGCTCAACCTTTCGACGAGGAATGCGTCTTTGAGAGTGACGAAATTTGCGAGAGATGCGCTTCTTCATCCTTTGGATAGTTACCCGGGGATGCTGAATGTCTCGGAAGCATATGCTCAGGGCCAGGGGACATGGGAAGGAGAACCGGTGGAGATTTTCGGCCACGTGGAACAGATATCTACTCTAGTGTAGAGGCAGTTCCCCAGATAGCATGTGCAGCGTCTCATGCGTTGACCAAGTAGGTCGCCAAAGTCAATGCTCTAGATAATCGACAACGCATTCCGAGCTCCGCACTCATGACGGACCTCTACCAGCTCATTTCTTCGCCATTGTAATACAGAAATCGCCCAGAGCTTTCCATATCCATTCCTTCCATAATCTTCACCATTCCCTGTACCGACTCGACAAGATCGACATCTCCCTTCCCGCCGGAGAGATCTGTAGGTACACGACCAGGATGCACCGCGACAATAGCAATGTTGGTGTTGCTAGCCTTGAAATCGGCTGCACGGCTTGCTGTTTGCATGTTGAGTGACGCTTTCGCCATTCGATAGCTCATTCGACCTCCATCCGTGTCTGCGAACTGTCAGCTGAGGACTGGAACAATGTTATTGGGCATACCCTTGATGGAAGCGGGGTCTGAGGAGATGTTGATAATCTTCCCTGGAGAGCCTGGGGAGAGGAGAGGAGCGAAATGCTTAGTCGCGAGGAAAGGTCCCTGTTTAGTATTGTGAGAGGAAATAGCGTGTTATTCATGCAGTACTTAACAGCACCATGATCTTGAATTTCGTCAAGATTGTGTCTTGTGTCTCTTCCTCCCAGGATCTCGGAGCCGTGTCTGCACCTCAGACCCTCTTAGTACATGATGTGAATAGGTAGTGGCTGTCGTATCTCACCTCCACAGTTTATGAGCACATCGAGCTTCCCAGATACCTCGATCGCTTTCGACGCGGCGATTATGCTTTGCTCGTCGAGGAAATCAAGCACCAACACTTTTGCACCAAGACTGTGTAGCTGCGAATAGGTCAGTTACGCGCCACATCTGGCGCACAAAGATGACGCACCATCTCTGCAGCTGGGACACGGTTGCTTTGCGGGCGGACTGTGCCCCATACTGTATATTTCTGCTCGACAAGAGTGCGGACGAACTGCAGTCCAATACCTCTGCTGGCCCCTAGAGTTGAGTCAGCATGATGCACTGAGCTCGCAAACCCTGAAAGGTCCATGGATGTACCTATAACAAGGACGCTTTTCCCTAATCCTTTCATTCTGCGAAGTTGCTTTGCCTGTTCCGTGAGATTTGCGCGCTCTTCGGTCGTGAACAGCTGGGCTAGTTGTGTAGGTAAAAGCGAGTTGTGAAGTAAGCAGACTGCCAGTCGATGGAGACGAACCGCAGCGTTGACATGTGTGGCGATGGTGCAAACGACAGAGCGAACAAACGGTACGAGGATCCATGCGCTGTTTGTATCACTCGCCCACATCGTCTATGCTTCGGGCTGTGCGATTTGTTGGAGTTGGCTACATGCCATTGTGTGACGTCGTCGAGTGACGGCTCGCGAACATGTAGAATGCAGAACGGCTTATTGATTTATTATTTGGCCCATTGTAGAGATATGATAACAGGCTAGCCGGAGAAATCCCCCCATCCCCTAACTCTTGTTTCACGAGGTCCTCTTCGTCACGGTATACCGCCCCAAGTACTCGCCGCCGACAAGTCGAGACGAAGGTGTAGACTAGCACAGCCTCTACAATGCAAATATTAGCTCCCGATCGAAGAATACTCCAAGAAGCAAAGCACGACGTACCAATCCAGGGTTGCAAACGGCGCAGTTCTTGCCGGGGCAGCATGACTTTCCACGAAATTCTCCACCAACATTGCAGCAGCGCCCACAGGTCCTGCCCTGAGGGTTTCTCGCCTCCAGAGCGCTCTCTTCAAAAGCTGGCTGGTTGGCTTCGAACGTGGGGGAAGCAGCCGCTATTCCGACGAGCAGGACGGAGACGATGGTGTAGAAACGCATGATGGCGAGGTAAGTTATAAACGAATGTCTGAAAGAAAGTAAAATTTGGCGTTTGAAAGAGAGTAATGGAGGTAGAGACTGACGATGTTGGTTCAGACTTCCCCACGGCCTCAGCAACTTATTTGTACTCACCCTTAATCCAAGACTGTATGTGCCGAACATGGCGCCACCGCACAGGTCAGACGTCTCTATTGTAATAACTGAGTGCTTTCTTACGGTCAGATCAGCATGTCCAACTACAACCCCTGCTAGGCTCCCGAAGCACGAGGGTTTGGCATCGGGGCAGGGCTATGACTTGTTGTAAAGGGCACACTCGGACTTGAGCGCGCTCCCAAGATGGAGGACGACGGCTTTGCGCAATCATGAATGCCGCCGCTATGGCCATGGATAGTGTTCTCGGCGAGCGTGAAGGACCTACCTGGGATACCATACCCAAACGACATGAATGGCGAATGTAAAGTTTGCATCGCAACGACGTCCTACATCAAACGCTCCTACACTACTGGATTTTTCCAATCCATTCCACGATGTTGTCGAGGCAAATGCTATGGCTTTTGACAACGTATCGCCATAGTTTCCCTGTCTGGTGAGGTTGTTATTCAGCAGAAGGAAGGACCGGTTCGTCGCTTCCCCAGAACGCGCCGAGTCGGCGCGGAGAAATCTCAGCCAGGCGTCCAGACACTGGTTAATTGAGGCCGACATTTGATGTGGCTATGCAGATGTGGTCCGGAACCCATCATACTTGGAGCACACTTGTCATTGTCTCATGTTAGCTTATCGTAACTTGCCACATCCACAGTCGACGTTTTAGCTCGTACCTGTGCCTGCGGGCTGATCCGAGCCTTGAGTTTAGCAGCATCTCCCCTTCCAACGTTTTCATTGCCCTTCAGTCAGGACTCGCGAATCCAGGCACGACTTTGCTAGTGCTTACCTCTACCCAGGTCTGGCCAACCGGAAAATTTCCGAGGTCTCGACGCACTGCCTTGGCAGGGCTGTCAGATCGCTTACACTTGCCGCAAATGGGACTTGATATATAGCACCTTTTCATTTGTACTGTTGGCTTATTTTAGTGCGGCTTCAAGAACGCGTGTCGAGCTCGCGGCGGTGAATCTGCACAAAATCGACCCTTTGGTAAACAAATCGTGGTGAAACACTTCATCGTTCGAATGAATTCAACTACCTCCAAAAATATCCCAAAGTAGTGCATGCGATGCTATTCCCATCTTTACACCTATTTACGCCAATATATGCAACATTCTCCTTCCCATGCGTCTTAAAGCGCATCACCCGCACGATTCAAAATATCCGCCGTCATCTTGATCGCTTTCGCCGCAAGGTCCCAATCCTTCTTCTCGACCGCATCCCTGATGAACGGGTACACGGAGCTCTCAAGCCCGTTCTCCGCATCGGGTGCGAAAATGACGTGTTTGAATTGTGTGCGGCCGGGTAACTGTTCTTTCATTAGCATCGAGCTCGTCTTTGGAAAGAAGTGAAGTCGAGACTTACGCCATGTTCCCCTTTATCATCCTTACCCCTCGCCAAATCCAGCAAATTACTCTCAAACCTCGCAATCTGACTATTGTGCATGATCCTCTGCATCGTGACACTCTGTGTTTCAAACCCGCCCGTCGCATACACTTGGTTATACCAATAACTCTCCCACTTGTGGAAGTCGTCTGCTTTCTTCTTCAGCCCCGTCAGCGCGTCGACAAGCGGCTGGAAGATTTCAATGTCGTAGCCAGCGACGGCCTGTTCTTCCGTCCAGTCGAGAAGCTTCTGGCCTTCTTCTTGCAGGTGGTGCGCGTAGTGGTCGATTTTCAGTGGCATAATGGGGTCCTGCGCGATTTCGAGGATAAGCAGGACCCAGATTTGCGCGAGGAGGGTGTGGTAGGACCAGCCCGGGTCGATGTATTTGGCCATCCAGGAGTATGTTTCGTAGCAGGAGCCGGAGAGTGGGTTTGATGAGGGGGAGTTGGAGGGGGTGCTGGAGAAACCGAATTCGATCGAGGACGTGCCGGATATGTATTGGAAAGGCGCCGTGTCACTGCCAGCACCGAGGTTGCCGATTTCGCTGCTCTTGGTTTCCCAGAGCTCTTTCAGTGTCTTGTTCTCGCGGGGATCGCTCAGGCGGTCGATGACGCGGCCCCAGGCGTGCTGGAAGATAGGAGAGCCCTTGGCCCAGAGTTGCTCGCCGGTGATTCCGGCATCGACGTTGAGGTAGGCGATGGCGTTTTCGCGGAGGGCGTCGACATTGGCTTCGACGTGCTCGGTCGAGCCGATCTTATTGTACTCTCCGGCGTCCCAGGATGCGAATTCAATCGTACGGAGGGGACGCCATCCTTGAGCGCGAAGTTCACCCAGCACGCGTGCAACTTCGAGCATGACAGCTGTGCCAGAACCAGGATCTGCGGCGCCAAAGCACCACGAATCGCGGTGGTTACCAACAATGATCTTCCGTGCTCCGTCTTCCATACCTCTGAACGTGCCGAAGATGTTCGTAACAAGCTGCTGGGGAGCCTCGTCAGGGAAGTTTTGCAGGTTGACCTTTGGTGCGGTATCAGGATGACCAGAGAACCACTCGTCGCCAACGTCCGGCACACCACCACGCCACTCAGACGGCAGCTTCTCGCCAGAATCCTTCAGCGACTGTAGCAGCTTCTGTGCATCTTTCCAGGAAAGTGGTAAACTCGGAATCTTGGGCAGTGCAGGGTTATCCTGCTGCGACACGCGCTCAACCTTTTTGACACTCGCTTTTCCAGGAGTTGTGACATCGCCCATGATTATATTCGTTTGCGCCACGGAGCCGCGCTGAACACTCTCGCCCGGCCTCCACTTGCCATCCGGCCACGGATTGCCCTTTTTGAAGCCGTCATCTGCAGGATCTGAGTAGACGAGTACACCAACACATCCAGCATTTTGCGCGGCCTTGACTTTCATCGCAAGATCCGGCTGTGGTCCATAAGTTCGACATAGCGCGATAGCGCCTTGTACATCGATACCACTGTCCCACAACCTCTTGAAATCCTTCTTGTCACAGTAGTTGACGTATATGAGCGGCCCTGTAACATTTCCAGATGCTGACATGCCATGGTATGCAGGCGTCTGCGCTTTCGGCGGGTTGAACACAGCCGGCTCTTCCAGTTTTGCTTCCCAGCGCTTCTCCGGTGGATCCACGATTGCGACTTTCCGGCCGTCTGGCTTTGCATAGTTCATGTATGCCCAGTACTCGTCGTGCGTGTATGTGTCCATGTGGGCGTCCTTGAACTTGCCCTCGATCCACTGGCCCAGCACGTAGCTTCCCTCGGTCCCGCCCACGTGGTCGTAGCTCGTGATGTACTCGAGATGCTTCTCGATGCGCCAGCCCTCGACGCTGGACAGCGCGGTCCCGCGCACCCACTCGGGATTGAACTGTGCGCCGAAGCCGCCGCCCATAGGCACCACCTCGCTCACAACGAGCAAGTACACGAGCGAGATGATCAGGATCAGACCGCATAGCCTGGCTATGACGGACCAGCCGGGCCTGTATTCTTCGGGCATGGTCGGTATGCGCTGCGTGAACCACGTCCAGTCCGGGCGCCACTTGTCGGGCCATCGCATGCGCGGGAGATTGAAGCTCGAGAAGGAATTGGTGATGCTGTAGAAGCGTTTGGAGAATCTCGAGCTGGAGCGATTGCGCCGAGCGCGTCCCTCTTCGACAGATTCAGGGTCCAGGATGTCCATCTCTTCCATAGTCTGCCTCAAGTCCTCGTCCTGGCTCTCGCGCACGGGACTCCCGAGCTCCGAGTCCCCGTCGTCGACCGACTGCACCGAGGGCGCCTGGTAGTATCCATGGCGCCGTCGCTGGTCGGACTGGATATGCGTGTCGGGACCCAGGAGGCCCTGCCGCTCGGCATCGTCGCTGACTTCGTTGGGACCGAGGCGCGCAGAGGCATGGCGAGACGACGTCGCCTCTTCGTATGTGGGGATCGGTGGCGGCGTGGGCGGGCGCTCGTAGCCATGTTTCTCGTCGGACATGGCGGGTTATCGTGCCACGCAGGTCCCCGGATCGTGGGACGCTGCACCGGGCGGATGTAATGCCAACTGCTGTAGGGGGGCGGCGACCAATCGTCCGGAAGGTGGTGGAATTAGGTATGCGACCGTATGCGCGTATACATGGCGGACTGGCGGCAGTAGGGAGCGACTATAGTACGTAACAACAGAAAAAGAGAAGCGTCTTGGAAGGGAGAGGATGCGTGCGCGGCACTGCGGCACTTGGGGTCGAGTATGGTGGTCGTGTCTGGACATAGCGGCGGACCCCCGAAGACCGCCGAGCTCGTTTCTGGCTTGGAATCTTGAAACATTGCAACAACTCTCGACATGATTTTTCGTGCAGTAATCGTTTGAGCATTGGTGTCGTCACGTGTGGTATTGCGGCACGCGACATGGTTCACGACAGATGGGTCGTTCATTCGGGCTCAATTCACTGGTTCCAGCCAAGACATCTACATGCCCCTTCCACCAGTAACCTTAATCGTCTCTCCATTCACATAGCTCATCAGTGGACTCGCCAGCGCCAGCACCGCACTCGCAGCCTCCGTCGCCGTACCCGGCCGCCTCAGCGGGATATCCATGTGCTCCTGTCCCTTGGCCGCCGCTTTCTGCGCACTCGGTATCCCCAGCGCAACCTTCTCACCATCCGGCGTGGTAACAAACGCACCCTCTTCCTTCGCCGCCGTCAACCTCGTCTGAATATGTCCAAACGCAACCGTGTTCGCGCGCACGCCGAAGCTAGGGCCCCACCTACACAATCGTCAGTATCATTGCAAATACAACATCTAGGACAACATACTCCTTCGCAATCGTCTTCGTCATACCCGTGACACCCGCCTTTGCCAGCGCATAGTTGATCTGCCCCGCATTCCCATTAACACCGCTGGTACTCGAGATGTTAATGATGTTCCTGGGCTCGCCGTCCTTGACCCTAAAGTACGGCGCCGCCTGTCTGACAATCTTGAACGGCGCGGTTCCGTGCAGGTCGACAATGGTGTGCCACTGCTTGTCCGTCATCTTGTGGATCACGCCGTCCCACGTGTATCCCGCGTTGTTGACGATGATGTGGATCTTGCCGTTGCCGAATTCCGCGGCCTTTTCAATGAGCGTCTTGATGTAAGCGTCGTCAAGCACGTCGCCGGGGACGGCGATTGCGCTGCCGCCGCTGGCTTTGATGGCGTCGACGACGGATTGGGCCTTCTCTGTGATAGCTGTTAGAAGTGTTGAGTGCGATTGACGTTTGGATCGAGCTTACTGGCATCTACATCCGCAACCACCACTTTCGCGCCCTCGTTTGCAAACAGCCGCGCTGCCTCTGCGCCAATTCCTTGTCCTGAACCCGTGATGATGGCGACCTGGCCAGCCAACATACCCTTGGGGTAGTTGAGATGGCCCGCGATCTGGTTTGCACGATTAGAAGCCGACATGTTGGACTTGCTGTTTCAGAGGATGCAGAATTGGTATGAATTCGGCTATGTCAAATGTCTACAGGAAAGTGCAGAGCTTATGAGATTCTCCAAATGCGGAGTAAGACTGCTGCTCATAGACCGAGGTTCATTTGCAAGATGCCGATTAGGCTCGGAAAGGTATGGTTCGGCTTCGCGCTTGCGGCTGACTCGATTGCAACACCATGGACATTCGACGATCCCAGACAAGTTTTATTTTCACACAAGATCGACCCAGCAAAGTCATGGTTCTGTCGCGATGCTTTTTACACATGCAATCATGTTCTGGTATGATGTGACTTTTGTAACTCACACAAGTGACGAATGCATTAACAATCATGGCCGTGAGCACGCCGAAGCAAGCTTTATACCCGCCAAATTCATGTCACAGTATCATCACACCAGCATACGAGATGCCGAGGCCAGCTTCCAAAAGGGATGGCGATTTTCGATTGCATGTTCTTAACAAAGCTTCAATAGTAACCGCCCTGCGACCCCAGACAAAGCTCATCCGTCACCTCCGTTTCCTTTTGAATCATTCCTCTTCCCAGCATCATTTTTTCGACATTGTTTAGACTTGAGTGTACTGAGAAGCAGATGTGTATGCAAACTACTTCTCCCGAGCCACTGACATGATAGTGTGGACATCCTGACTTTGGAGGAAAAGAACATGCGGACAAAGAACTCGAATTTTCGGCACAGCCCGGCTTTTGGAGTGTTCGATGAGAAGAGTGGAAGACTCATGCGAGACTGAGCTTTATACTCGCGAGAGAGGGGACGGGACATGTTGTATCCGAACTTTGCTTTGGAAAGGACATATCCTTAGTAGAGGCAATATTTTCGTGAATCAAGATTGGCTTTGTTGAGCTGTGCAGCAACACTGGTAAAAGGCCTTGAAATAAGAGAGTGCCTGAGAGTGACGGCAACATTAACGTGCTTCCTATCTGCCTTTTGTTGGAAGAAGACATTAAATCTTAGCATTGCTGTTTGAAAACTGCGAGATTGCGAGGAAGAGTTAGTGAAGAAGACAAGTCCACTTAGCCTTGGGCTATACGAGTTTCTACTGGGTAATTCTTTTTTCCTCGCTATGAATTTTGCCAAGTTGTCCTTTGCATATGCTTTCTTCACATCATCGATTGAAGAAAGTTTTCAGTTACATTCCGCTCAGCGAAAGCATCACACTTCTTCTTATCACTTTCTTTACCAACATTGCAAAATAGTGTGCCCGTTTTTGTAGTGTGGAGTCAACTGTTTATAATGGGGAAAGAGAGAAAGACGAGATTCCGATGCTGACCCCAGGACTTTATACTGGCCAACCGTGTGTTACGAGAGAACGGCTTGCCGGCACGAAACATGACTCATGCTGATGTCGAATTGTTGCGAGCATAGTGGACTTACAGTCCTTTTCAGAGAGAAGATTAAACAGTATAATTATCGAAGTTGGTCTGGCCATATATGGTTGCATTCATCACGACTTTTGGTAATACGAGACGTCGCGGTGTTCGTCATTGTAGGTTGCAATCGACGTGGGGAGTGAACTTTATACCCATACTTCTGAGAGACAGGTGCGGACATGAACACCATCCGTGTGGCTTTTTGATACTGCTGGTGGTGATGCTGTATCGGTTACGATCCGGGAGTTGAACAGGACCAAAGCTATTGAAATTTGAGGAGCGGCTGGCCGTCTAGGCTCATGCATAGTGCGTTGATCCAGTTTTGGAAGTACAGCAATAAGATGCGATATCGGTTTTTTTGGGAGCAACAAAGTCGTGCTGCGACAGGTTGCACATTTTTTATCTGTCAGATAGCGAGATGTGATGAGTAAAAATGATAGAGATGTCGATGCAGAGCGTATTATATACCCTGCTAGCTAGTTCACGCTCGCGCAGGAAGACCATAGCGAAACAGTACTGATCCTTTTGTAATCTACAAAAGCACCTTCTGCTCAAGGCATGACCAAAATTTCTGATCCTTTCCAGCTTATCTATTAACTAGCGATCGAGTGGTTTTGGTGAATTGTATTCCAGGTACGTGAACAAAATCTTTATGCGTGGTTTTGGTGGAAGCAGAGCAAGAGACATCGAACCACTTAATCGTCGTTTTTGAAAGTTGAGAATGCACACAAAAAGGAAATGGTAGCAAGCTGTTGACGTGGGAGAACACGATGAGCGAGAACATATGGGCTTTCTCTGTTCGATCTTTTTCACTCAAAGGCAAAGACATGTGACAATCCACCCACCATTTTTGAAGATCGATCCGAAAAGGCGCGTATTTTTGGAGCAAGAGAAACTTCACCATCACGTCCTCTTTATACTTAGGCTAACACTACCTCGCTTGAGGTGTGCGACCCGCACGATTGCAGACATGCGTGGAATGGTCGCCATGTTTTATCGACCCGCCCCTCTGGTGTGAAATTTGTTATCCCGCGGGACTTGGAGTTTGTTTTTTGAAGTGCGAGCAGGGACAACATGTCACTTCTGAATGCTAATTTTCGAGCAGGCGAAAAAAAAAATTAAACTGAAACGCTCATCTTTGGATTGAATGAGCGAGCGAGAGTGTTGAAGGAGGAGGATGGCAACACAGTGGCATTTATACACAATTCGCGATGACCGAGTCCTGTCCAGCGTTGAGTGTGGCAGAAGAGCAACAGGTTCACCCTGTATCTTTGCAAAATCCTCGTTTTCGCTACCGATGTATTCTTTGCAACCCAGAAAATACATCTTCTCGAAGTTACCTCAATTTCACAATAGTCCAGCCATTCATTTCTGATAGTATCACGCTAGACTTAGGAGACTTTGTGTGGCATATGAAGCTTGAAGAAAAAGACAGTCGCTGAGTGTATAAATGCAAGAAAGTAGTTGAAGCATATTACGCGCTCATGAAGACTTTGATCGACTAGCCAAAGCTCGCATTTCATATGGTGGTGGTAGATATCATTGAGATGAAACTCGACCAGAGGAAAAGAAGCACATAGATCGAAGAATCCTGAGTTTTGGACTGAAAAAGCAACGGTGAGATTGGGACTGAAGACTGGACGACTGACGTGGAGAGGAGCCTATATACATAACCCACGCGATCCGGGCGGTATGATCGAAATATGTCAGGACATGTCAACATGTAGTCTGTAGCCCTCAAACGTTGAGTAGTAAGAGGCAATGAATAGCACCACCATTCATAAGCCTGAAGTGCTGTATATAAACGTGCAATCTCATGTATCCCGTTGCAATTCCAGAATGCAGAACTCGTTGACACATCTTTCGGGACTTTGAGGCCAACAGACATTCCGTCGTATGTTTTAGATTTTCGACACGGGAGACAACATGCTTTGCTTTCTTTTTCGATTCGATCGTTTGAAATCCATTTGAAATAAATCGGTGTGCAAGAAGAAAGAACGAAGGGATATGGCTTTATAGTGAGTACATGATCAGACGACCAGGTGGCTTCAAAAGCTATGTGAAGGCCCGACCTGACTTGGTCCGTTGAATATGTGCGCGGATAAGAGATGCTTTTGTGGAGGCAAATCGTGTGAAGATGTTGCGAGTCAATGTCGCAGGGTATCATATTCCAACTTACGCCGTATCAATATGAGCAAGCCTCTCCGGGAGAGCGCCAGTGCCACATCACTCTGTAACGCCGTACAATGCATGAGCTTTTCGCCTCCTCGTCACACAGCTATCGTCATCGATGCTACTACAGCATCAAGCCGTTCACTTCTTCCCAATGCTGAACCCTCTCGTCATATAATCCGCACTCTTCTTCATATCGGGCTTGTGATCACTTGTATTAAACAAGCTCTTCACATTCGCATTCTCCGCCATCTTCCTCCTCTTATTCCTCTCTTCCTGCTCTTTCATAACTTTCTGCGTAAGTGACGCCGTAGACGCATTCTTGATGCCATTATCCACTGACTGTGCCTTCTTCGCCTTCTCCTCGTCCGAAGCTTTCTTCTTCTCTTCTCCATCTGCGCCCTTCTTCCGCTTCTTGCTCCCCGGCGCCTTCTTCAGCGCATGTGTGAGCCCCTTCTCTCTGAGCGTCTTTAATCGAAGATTCAGGCGCGCGATGTCGGTCGGTAAAGTAGGTAGAATGGGTATAACATCGTTCTCCGCATACGCCTCATTGCACTGTTTCCCAATTAGCCTCGCCGCGCATCCCAAATTCAATCGCGCAAAACATACCGTCAAGCACGCACTCCCCGCGACTTCCCTCACCACACTCCCCACAAACGCATGCCCACAGGGAACAATATACACTGCCTTCGCGCCCAGCCCCAATTCCTTGCCCGTAATCGGACAAACCCACTTCTCGCCCCTACCACCAAGTTCCCTCTCGCCCTCGCCGACTTCAAACTTGACCTCGACAACGTCCTTCAGGCCCTTGACGCGCTCGCCAAAATTGCCCAGCTCGACAAACCCACCTTCCACCGTGCCCTTTACGCCCGCGACTTTGCCCATTTCCGTCTTCTCAGGCCCGTCTTCTTTGAGCAGGTACTCGATGATGGAGTCTTTATTGTAGAGCACGCCGGCGGCATCGCTGACGACGGGTGCGGCGAGGGGTTTGCGCGTGAGCGGGTCGGTGGTCCAGCCGTACTCTTGCTGTTCGTTTTGCGCCTCTTTGAGTTGCGCGGAGGTCAGGGCCTTTGCGGCTTCTTTGACGAGTTCGCTACGCTTGGGGATTGAGCCGCCGTCGTTACCCATATTTGCGGGTTGTTGTAGTTGGACTGGGAGGCGTGGTGGGTGAAGTTGTGGTGAGAGTTGCGGAGTTGAGACGGAGGTGTCTGGGGGCTTGGCACTGGGGGTTCGTCATAGCCATGTGAAATCGATTTGTACAAGATTCGAGTTCGCGCTTGAAAGTAGAATGGGTTGTTGTTCGTGTGTATTTACATAATTCATCCCAATGTCATGCTCGTGGCGTTTTCAACGCCACCCAAATGCTATATATTACATGGAACATGGTTCGCTAATCCCGGCCTCTTGCGTCCAACCAGTACCCCCTCGCCGCTGGCTTTGCTCTTTGTTTCCTTGAGCTGTCCTTCTCATCTCTCTGATCAAGGGCCTCTTCTTCGTACTTCAAATAGGCGTGAGGATCCACATCATCAACAGACGCTTCAACATCCTCCTCATTCGCCTTCGAAACCCTCGGACGCGGCTTTCCACCCAGTTCTTTAAACATCAATCTCTGGATGAAGCTTGATAGCCTTGCTCTTGCTTCCTTAAAAGGCTTCTGCTTACTTTCCTCTAGCATATTCGACTCCAGTAACCTGTCGTATACTGCATAGATTTTCCGCAACGCGCCAATGGCATCTTGTCGCTCTTCACCTCGGAGATATGTTGCACCAACACGATTTCCTGGCCGGGCCCCGCCAACACCAAGTTGCAAGCGTAGATTCCTTAGAATCGGATTCAAAAGCGTCAGAGCATCCACAAGGTCTTCACCCTTGGCGAGGGGATGGGTTACCGCAAGCTCAGCGTATAATCCCGCAGCCTTAGAATCCACGTCTGCCAGCGTCTTGAGCATGATCTGCAGTATCTCGCCAGCATTTCTAAGCGAATTGTGGTTGTTCTTGTCGCGAATGCAGGTGCTCATTGCAATTCTAAATGTGCCTGGCTTTGGTATTACGTCTTTGGCGAGCATATCATCTCTCAGAACAGCGACTACAGCCGCCGAAGCTCGGTTTTGGCGCAGGTTGCGCAAACGCGTGTGGAGGTTGTTGAGATCAGGTGCAATGTCGTAAGTTGTCGGATCGGTCAGCAGATCCCAGTACTCTTGCGCCGCTTTGTTCGACACAAGCTTCTGGCAGGCTTCCTGTATCACCGATAGCGTGTTGTTGCCCGGCCGCGCGTATGTCAGCGGACTGGATACTGCACGCGCGACAGCATGTGGGGTCAAAGCGAGGAACTCGTCGCCTCGAGAAGGACTCTCGCCGGGGGCTAGAAGCTCTTGGTCGTCTCGTAGGTGCGCTGGGGTACTTGGAGCGCGTATACCTGCAAGCCCAGCCTTTTTGTGCTCAGCCGTGCCCAGTTGGGGTACAAGTCGTGGTATGTCCATAGTCTGCTCAACGAGAGAGAGCACGTCGTCCCAATCTCGCGGCCGGCTCCCAATGAGCAGCAGTCTCGCCATCGCGCAAACAAGCTCCTCATCTATCTTCAGTTCTGCGTTTCTCCATCGGGTGACAATGCCTTCCCACATTCGCCGTGCTTCCAGGATGCCGCGTTCCCGCCGTACTGCAATCTCATCTGCCGTCTCGTCTTTTGGTGGATTCAACAACAGATTCTGTCGAACCGCATTGATTATGGTAAGGTATGTCACCGGATTTGCAGCTTGAGGACCCTTTTCGGGTATTTTGGCTGCAATGCCCCAAAGAGCGTCCATATCCATTGCGCGTGCGCAGACTCGCAGCGCAGCATTGGTGTGTATTATACTCGGTTCGACTCGTGAATTCGGCGCATAGAGCGAGTGGTATACAGAGAGCGCTTTTGCGATGACGCCTGAATGATGCGCGTTGATCGAGAGGCCTCGTAGAAGAATAGTATATGTGTAGGAGTCGGGAAACTGTTGACGCTTCTTCATCTGCTCTGTCGTTAGCAGCGACCTCATATTGCTCGCACTGAGCACCATACATCATTGTACACTTTCATCGCATCGGCGATCCTCTCATTTGCCAGATAGTGATCGATGATATGATTCCAGGAGACAATACACGCCATTGAGTGGCTCGCCATGCGCACCAGCTGCAACATCTCTGCCGCTTTTCCTTTCCTCAGCTCGCTCTTAACAAAGACGGCCAGCTCCAATGGGTCTTGTAAATGTCTCAGTTCCCTCTTCCGGTTGTTCCAGTCACGATCACTGACGTCGGGATCGCGGGAACCGAGCTTTGCTAGGTTGGGTGTATCGTAGACTTTTTGCGGTTCCTGCCTCAGCGCCGCTCGTTCCCTCTTCTTCTGGTTGGCAGCCACAGCAGAGGTTGACCAGGGGTCTTTTTTTTTGCTAGAAAGCCTGTCTGTCTCTGACTGATACCTCGGCTTCCATTCTTTCTTGCGCACGACATCTTCCCTCGTGCTCTGAAGGCGCCGCTGGCCCGGCCGAAGGAAAGGGTTTACATGGCGGCGGAGACGCTGGACGTTACCCGCGGGCGCATCGACTGCTTCTATGCATCGCCACAGACAGGCGCGACAATTCAGCATGGGGAAGAGCGCGGGGGTGGTTGTATGCGCGCAAAGTGCACCTTGGTGGTTGTCCCAAAAAGTTTCGTCCCATATTCGGAACTAGTCTGATGACGTAAGACGTCTGAACACCAAGCGGCGAACAAGACATCTCGCAAACCCCGTGGCACACACTTGACACCCTTCAGGAACCAGCCAGCCTCGAACAGGCACGCCATGTTCTAGCTCACGTTGGCTCCAGATACTCTAATTCAACCTCCCACACGCCTAGTCACTCTCCACCCTTTCTCACCAAGCGCCCACGCCGCGCTCTTGCAGTGCCTTGCTCCATGTCCACTACCTAGTCCTCCTAGTTTAACAAGGCTGGCGAGCCGGCCCTAGCTAAGTACTAAATAGCCTCACGCTCCCAGAGACCCGGAGCCGAGTAAACAGTAGCGGCCAATCCTTCAAGATAATCTAAGCTACCATCGAGGCTACTGCAAAACATACATAGCTCTTCTACCATCCCGACTCTGGCGTAGTAGCATCGGTCAGCCAACAGCGCCTAGTGAGGCACCATTACATGCACATCAGAGCAGGCAAGTAACGTGGCGGCACAGTTCGCCAAAAGGTGCACCGTTGTTTCCTCCTTGCCTTGTTCAAAGCCGTTGCACAGAGCGATCCCGTGCGCGTGGCTGGCCATGCACCGAAGGGCTTGGGTACCCTTCACTGCCTTGGTGCACTGCTCGTGATGCTTTCTGTGCGAGGACCTGACGTCGATCTGGCGGTTGCCCGGTGAGGATGGCTGCATGTTGTACTTAGAGCTGTCGTGTCTATTGCGTGTTCGGGCGCAAGGTAGGTGCAAGGTTGTTTTGTGCGAGGGTCAGTGGAGGCTGTTTGGTCTTGATGAGCCTGCATTCCATTCCGAACCTTCACCTTCTTCATCGTGTGTGCGAGTACATACCCCATCGCACTGCATTGCTCACCGATGCTCGGGATTCCGTTTGCAATCCTCTCCTTCAATTGCTCCGCGAGTGTGGTCTCACAGCCAAGTCTCTCCACCACCAGGCCTTTCTGGCGTCGCCGCGCATCGCCAAAATCCTGTTCGCTGTCGTGTAACACACCATACCACGCCTCTGTCCAGGTTCTCGCAGCATGCATCCATCTGCTAGTTTCCGCCGTCAGATTCAGGGAACCCAGCGCCAGCAAGCGCGACCGTTGTTCGTCATCCATGAGGCGCTCACGCCCTGGCCTTAGCCCTTCAACGGCGCCATAAGCAACAAGTTTGATCTGATGATTGTCCGCTAGACTAGTGACCGATCTTGTGCCTACTTCATATCATGGGGACGACTGGTATAGATTCTAGCGTACATTTTCGCGTTTTGTATGATGGCGCAGTATTACCAGCGATTGCAATATTGAGTTTCTGCTTTCTCGCACCCATGTCCTGGTGAGATCCTGCGTCGGCCATGTGCGAAACTTTCGCCTGCGTGCATGCAAACATCCTCGTCATCAGTCATGCACATTCGGGGGGAAATCCCAGCTTGTGTGCCGGCCAACTTTCCCGCGAGCGCTGCAAGCGATAAGGTTCCTCGAAGCGATGCGGAGTCTTGCGGCGCCGCGGACCCTGTTGGACATGATCAGTCAATCTCAGTCCGTCGCATGATCATGCAAGGATCTAGACTCATCGTGTAATGGATGACAAGGACCTTGCCTCTCAGCTTCGCGACAACGAACGATGTGGACAGGAAGATTGGCCTATCACAGAGCGAAGACAACCTTCCGTCGTACTTCCGACAGCCCTTGCGCCATGTTGAGTGAAGAAAAAAAGTTTCTTCTCCATACTATCTGACCGGGGGGCATCGCCGCGCTGAGTTGCGTTGTCGGATGTGAGCTTGTTGCATGCAAAGTGGACATCGCCGCCGGCTCTGTTATGCTGTTCCTTGTCAGCCCACCAAGCCTCATCCTGTCCGCCTTCATGGTCGCCGACCCCAGGTATCGGGCTTCAGACATGAACCACAGAAACAATGCTATCTCCGAGGCACTGTGTGCATCCTGTGCGTCATCAGTGCCGTGATACAATATTTCGCAAATGAAGCTCGAGGTGCCAATGATAGGTCACAATATACTCGAGCATTTCCCCCCTATATCCCTGCTGCGAGCAAATCAGCAATCGTGTTGTAAAAGCCGTGTGTCGCTGCAACACCTATCGGCGCCACTCCAGGTGCCACTCCAAGTGGCCTCGGCGAGAATGCCCGTTCTTTGTGCGTCCCGACTGGCTGTCCAGGCAGACGAGATGGCTTGAGGATGTGTGCCTACGTGGCCTGCATCGTTGTCGATGTTGTTCCGCCATGCGAACGCAAAGTGAGGGGATGGAGGCAATGTGGCTAGGACGGAACCCGCGCGGCAAGGGGACTATGGCAAAGCATTCTACTCCTGGTTTTAGAATTTGGGATAATTTGCTTTATCGGCGTGTTTTGTTCTGCTGGAGCTGACTTGACTGTTTTCCATGATTTGCGCTTCGAGAAGTAGAAGTCCATGTTTCATGTATGGGGTTAGATGGGGGCTTTCACAAAGGTGACGGGCGTACAAGCACAACACGGGCAAGGGACCACTTGAGTGTTGAAATGGTCATGGACGCAGAGCAGTGATCATGCGACTGAACGCATGCCATGTACGCGATCTCTTCGGTGTGTCCCACGGCATCGGGGCAGTTTGGGCGTTAAATGGGGGACCCGGAGCTTGTTGCTGCCCATTCCTTCGTTCCACGTTGCTCGCATACGCGCTGTACACACATTAGATGATAGGCACAAGTAGCGAATACATTGTCACAGGTGCTACGAAAGCAGGCCCTAGTAAGCAAGGCATCGGTACAGGGGATGATAAGCATGTAATTGTTTCTCTGAGCGCCGGTGTTGCATATTGTACTTCTAGGCCAAGAAAAAAGAGTAAAAATCCGACTTTGCATAAACTGTCTGAACACAATAAACAGAGGGGAAACGGAGACAGCTGGGATGACATGCTGACATGAAAGCCAAGTCTATGCGCACCGTGACATTTTGGAAATCCTCGAGCGGAGACCGCCTCCTTCTCACAGTCATAGGTCATCGGCCTTAAAACCGTAACACCATCAACTGAAAACATACAGCCGCCACCGATGAAAATGCATGACCCATCCGTAAAGAGAGATGCTGAAAACCATCACATGCTTCCACGGTAAGAATGCAAGTGGCCCCAAGAAGGAAAGTCGTCAAAGCTCGTGAGCTTTCGGGGAGTTCAGAGGTAGAGAAGGGGTTGCAGGTGCTCTTGACACCTGCTGCTCTTGATACTGGGGGCTTTTAGCCGCTTAGGGCATGGCTGTGTCGTTCGAGGGTACAATTAGTGACCCTGTTGGTACATCTGAGGGTTTTGGCCATATGGCGACTGAGGGTAACTGCTGCTGTTACTATTGGGACTGTTGTATGCGTGGCTGTTGGGGGTAGCATACTGAGCCATGCCCTCAGAAGGTAGACCTGGACTTTGAGTGCCGTACTGGGGAGGGGCATTGTTGCCAGAGGCTGCAGGCTGGTACCCGATGGGAGGCAGTTGTGCGTGCTGAGGGCCTTGTCCGGGCACACCAACTGCTTGTCGCATCTGGCCGTAGACGGGTGCCTCGCCAGGTGGGCCCTCATGACGCTGCTGTGCATCGGCGCGGTGGCGCTCATCATCAGCCTTCAAGCGTGCGCCTCTTCCTCCTTTTTCTTCGCCTTCCACTCC